GAATCTATACTAATAAAAGGGTAATATTAATTAGACTGGGTCAACTGGACATCTTCTAGACGTCCAACTTCCTTCTGGACAAAGTCATGGTGATGGAGGCTGAGGCAGAGGCAATTAGGAGCAATCAGGCTGGTGGGGGGGGGGCAGTTAGGGGGCAACTAGAACAGCAGGGGGACAGTTAAAGGGTAACCAGGCCGGCAGGAGTCAGTTAGGGGGTGACCAGGCCAGCAGAGTGCAGTTAGGAGGTGATCAGGGTGGCAAGCAGAGGCAGGTGGGGGCATCAGGCAGGCAGGTAGAGTGATTGGGGGTGATCAGGCAGGCAGGCAGGCAGGTTAGTGGTTAGGAGCCAGCAGTCCCAGATTACAAGAGGGATGTCCAACTGACAGTTTAGGCCCTATCTTCCTAGGGGTCCTGCATTGGAGAGAGTTCAGGCCAGGTTGAGGGGACCCTCCCAAACACAAATTTCATGCACTGGGCCTCTAGTCTATATATATAACAGCCTAAGCAACCATTATGACAGAAGACCAGTCTCTATGATGCGCACTGACCACCAGGGGGCAGACACTCAACGTAGGAGCTACCCACTGTTGGTCAGTGCGCTACCACAGCCAACCTCTGGCAGTGGGCCAACCACCTGTAGTCCCTCCCCTTGGTGGGCCCCCATCAGCCCCTGGTGCTAAACCATTTGTAGATGACAGGCTTCTGGGTCAGGGTTTCATATGTAGCAGAGAGATCCCTTGCTGTGATCTATTGAAAGCCAGCCCTTCACACAAGAGTTTTTCTCGCTCCTGTCCTCTCCCTTCCCTAGGGGCCCCCACCCGCCACAGTGGAGGCAAGGTAAGGAGGCAGGGAGGCAGGGAACCACGCGGTGACAGAGCGGCATAGGCATCCATTCCTTCTGCACCCAGCCCAGTGACGGTATACTTCTCTCCTGACCGTGCCAGGGCCTTTGGGCTCTGGGCTAAGACTGGGAACCGGGGTGTGTGGCAATGGACATGGCTCCTTCCTTGGAGCTGGCAGCCAACCTCCCGTGATCCCTCCCCTCAGCCAGCCAACCTCGGACCCTAGTAAAAAAAATAACACAATTACTTCAATTACCAATGAAATATAATTTGCTTTGTTTTCTTTTACTGGTAATATTTGTTTTAGAACTAAAGATTTAAAATGAGGCATATAAATAGTCATGTAACAGTGTTTTGGTTGTGTTTTTCTTTTGTTTTTTCTAAATCTTGAGTTGACTGAATTACTCTGAACTGACTGGAAATTCAGTTAAACTGACTGTGGACTTTGGCTAAAATAAAAGAAAAATATTAATGCAATTTTGTGGATGAAATCATTTGTCATTTGGGGAGGAAGGAGGAGGAAGGATGCAAATCTTGTACAAACCATAATAAGAAATATTAAATTCTCATTGATTATATCAGATAGCAGGCCCTGAGGAGAGAAAGGGAGGTGTACAAACATTGCTATTCTGAAAACCCCCTTGGCAGTGTCTCACCACAATCCCCCCAATTCATCCAGCATAGGATTTCTGCTCCATTAACAAATCTTGCTATGCTACTCATAATTATGACTTCAAGCAAGGTATTACCTGTCTCAGGCTAATTACATTGCTTAAAAATATGTCTCTGGGCAATAGAACATTTGAAGATGAAGGAAAAAAATCCTACAGAGGCATTTCAGACAGGAAGATAAAAATGCAAGGGGGGTTGTGTGTGATCAGATTTTCATTAAAGAAAGTAGGTAGTTAGCAGCACTGTGGAAGGACACCAAATAGGTAATAGTTCACTGTATCTACCTTTAGAACTAAATGAACATAAGACTACAAGGAATAATACACTTGGACTACTCTAGGATGCAAACAACCAGACACTTTTAACACTACTATAGCAAAATTCACATTTCAAAGCAAATAATAAATATGCTTCATACAATTATCCCACCCTAATGATCCATTGAAGAAAACATTCTCAGGACCTCATATAAATAACCCTTTATTAGCTTTGTTTTAATTGCCTTAAGAATCTAGAAAAAAAATTAGGTCATTTGTTAAAAAATAAATATCCCATTAATTTTAACAGTAAGTCTTCTTCTAGTCTGCCTATTTTCTGATCACTGAAGTTTTCACTATGTTGTAATAGGAGAAAATAACCAAACACATTGAGCATAATGTACTTCTAGCTTTATATACCATCCTGCAAAACAGCAATACAGAATGGGTAGCAGTGCTGACCTATTCAAATGATTAGAAAAATACAAAGATACACCAGTAGATTGAATGATTAAATTATTATAATCTTTATTATGATTAATTTCATTCCATTAATAGCATAACTTCAATGACCATTAAAGCCCAAGATGAGAATTCAGGAGTTTGAAGTTTGCATTTGCTATTTCAACATTTCCAACCACTCTTTTTTTTTTAATATATATTTTATTGATTTTTTACAGAGAGGAAGAGAGAGGGATAGAGAGTTAGAAACATCGATGAGAGAGAATCATTGATCAGCTGCCTCTTGCACACTCCCTACTGGGGATGTGCCAGCAACCAAGGTACATGCCCTTGACCAGAATAGAACCAGGGACCCTTCAATCCACAGGCTGATGCTCTATCCACTGAGCCAAACCTGTTTGGCTCCAACCACTCTTAATAGTTTCCATCTAAGTTGTACTTTTTACCTTTAGACATGCTGATTTACTTCTCTGTTGTCTTGTACTTTGCCTTAAGGCACTATCATGAATTCCTTCCTAAGTGGTAGAGCCAGATTCTCCCATTATCATTCTCTGCAGCTCACAGCATAATATGCTCTTCCATACCTGACCACAGACTCTCTCTCTCTCTCCTTTCTCTCTCTCTCTCTCTCTCTCTCTCTCTCTCTCTCTCTCTCTCTCTCTCTCTCTCTCTCAGCAAGCAGCTTTCCGATCTCACAAGCTTCTTGGCCTGGCTCTCATGGATGCTATTCAGATGCTGCTTGGCATGGTATCCTCACTCACCACAGATTTTCCTTCCCTTATAGAGCTTGTGCTCACTTGGTTTGATGGTGGGGAATAAATCTCATCTACTCCTCTTCAACTTCCACCCCAAAAGGTCACTCCCAGATCTAATCACAGTCTTGATTCTCTTTCTGGACGGTGCCTGTAGTTACTTATCTTCCCAGTTCTACTGCTAGGCACCAGAGAAACAACAAACTAGACTCATTATGAGGATTTTAGCCTCCTTTCATTTACCGCTAACTCCTTTTATATACCTAGACCACTGATAATTTTCAGTTTTTATTAAGGTTATTATATGTATGTATGTGTGTGTGTGTGTGTGTGTGTGTGTGTGTGTATATATATATATATATATATATATATATATATATATATATATCTTATCATTGCCCCCCCACCCCACTCCCATACATGCCCTCCCCCCTAGTGTTTTGTGTCAATTGTTTATGCTTATATGCATGCATACAAGTCCTTCAGTTGACCTCTTTTCTCCCCCACCTCTCCCTAACCGACTGGTAATTTTTGAGTGAGTGATTTTTGGTCTTGCTGGGCTCTTTACCTACCTTTTAGCTGTTGCCCACTTTCCCACATGAACCCCCAACTGGGGCCTCAGCCTCTTTTTCTAAGTCATACCCTCTAGAAACAATTTTTCTAAGCCCAAGAAGTAACTGCTGCCCTGGACGTTGCCTGCTCACCAAGTACACTGGCTTCTCTGTGACTTCATGACAGATCCCGAAGAGTAAATGAGACCACACACTCATTTCCACTCTCCCTGTGCCTGCTCTGCCACTGTTCATAGCAACTAAAGCCAGGCTCATAGCAAGAGACCTGCTTCCAAGTGAAACTTTGGTTCCCAGGCCTGGAAGTAGCAGCCAATGTTTACTGAGTGCTCACCATGTAGTAGGGACAGTTCTAAATATCTCATGGGTGTGACCAATAGGATGACAAGTATTTCATTTAAGCCTCAGTGAGGTTTACCAATACAAACAAAAACCCAGCCCCCAAAGGCCTCAAACAATAAGGAAATTTATTATCTCAATTCACTAGAGGTCCTAAGGTAGAGTTGGCTCCAAATATGGTACAATGACACTTGGGCATATATGGGTGAGAATGAGAACTAGATAACTACTAGGCCCTGAGACCCTGCCACCCAAAAGTTCCTGGCTGGCAGAGGTACTCCCCACAACCCCTCAACCAAGGGTCTCTGATTTAAATTTTAAATAACAAACTGGGATAATGACCTCTCAAAGGCATGCAGATTTTTCTTAGCACCCACTGGACTCCCTCACTGTCTCCAAGCCCCCCAGGCCCACAAGACTTCAGCATAGCTCAGCAGGGTAAGGTCAAGTTCAGGAGACAGCCCAGCATCTTGCCAATTTTCACAGGCAGGATATCTGGGACACATGTGGAGGTGAGGATTCTAAGTGTGTCAGCCTAAGGAAGATGAATTAAGACCAGGCTCTATTTATTATGGGTGCATTTACCCCAGGATGCATAATTTAATGTTAGCTCAAACAGCTGAAAGGGGCATTAAAATAATGTTCTCCATTGTTAACTAAAGCCTAAAGTCAATAGCACCCCACAAGCAATAATGATTAATGGGCAGAATTTCCCTAGCAGTGTTAAGGAAATTAAAGGCTTAGGAAGGTAAAAATATTGTATGTATCCAGATTTATTCCTGATGTCCTAGTCTAATGATTAATAATGCCCTCTTTCATTCTCAAAAGTGTCCCAATTTGGGATGGTGTGCTACGCACTCAGCTATCCTTTACACATACCACCCTGGAGGCCCCAGAGGCCATTCCTTTCACCAATAAGAAATGCCTTGGCCTCAGGAACACCAGAATTCCTATAAATTCCTGTGTTACCTGTTCTCTGCAGCCTAGAGATGAAAGTGGGGATAATAAGATTCAACTAGGTTCCCTGACCTCAGTTGGAATAATGAAAGTCAGGGTAGAGAGATTAGAGGCCAGTGATAACTCTTAACCATTAAAAGACACTGATGGTTTTTTTTTTTTTTCCGTAGTGCTTGATTTTTATTGAGAAGAACACAAGTGCTTTTTGCAAGGTAGTATTGAAAGCAGGGCTGAGTACCTGTTTTTGCTTGTTTTGTTTTTAGCATTTTTGTCCAAATGCACACACATCTGTGGGACTACTGCAGTTTTTAAGGGAAAATGACAGCTATGCAGAACTGGCGCATAGGAGAAAAGAAATGTCAACAATTTGGCTGCCAGGCATAGTAGACTCCAGCAGCAATCTGGCGGGGGGGAGGGGAGGACTCTGGAAATGAACTAACCAGGTTGAAAGACTGGCCCCTTCAGGGGTTGGTGAGATGTCCAAATCAATGTCCAAGGAGGGGTAGTCGACTCAGGCATCTTCTAGGCTGCTCCTTCTCTCCAAAGGCGGTGGTGGTCTGTTGCTGGAATGTAGTGGATCATGGTGTAGTGTCTCTGGGCAGATGCAGGGCTGTGCATAGGCCAGTTTATATGTAACAGGGATTCGCCAGATAGCTGGGCTCAGGACACAGTCCAAAGTAGCAGGGGTGCATCCTGGGGCAGGCCACAATGGGTGGCAGCATGCTTCAGAGATAACTCCCAGCCCCAGCAGCAGGAAACTGAAGCACAATTCTTGAAACAAAGACAAGCACTACTGGGGATGCGGGAGGGAAGCGGAGAGCAAGGGTAGAGGAGAAGGGAGGGCTAGGGGGAGCATGGTGGCTCAGGGAGGGGCGGAGGAAAATGGGGGGTGGCTTGCAGGCTTCACTCCCCCCCCCCCCCCCACGTAGGCCCTAGGGTCTCAGGGCCTAGTAATTCTCTATTTCGTCGTCATCGTCGTCTTCTTCCTCATCCCAGCCAAAGCACTGTTTGAACTCCTCGAGGAAGGCCCGGTAATCGCTTAGGAGGGGGCTATCCATCTCGATGTAGGGCACCACCCACTCCTCCGCTTCCCCGGTGAGCAGGCTGATCAGGAATGCCACTTTCATGGCGTCGTTGCAGAATCGGTCCTCGTTGACCAGCATGTAAGATGTCGTCTGCACGATAAACTCGGGGAGACGGGAGGTCTCGCCATCAAACGTGTGGGGGAAGGGCACCGGGCAGCTGGGCGGACGTACCTGGCGCAGCAGGGTGGCCCGTTCGCACACCAGCAGGCGCAGCTGTTCCATCAGCTGGTTGTTCTCGATGCTCAGGGCGCGGTGCCTCACCAGGAGAGCCTGCAGCAGCAGCACCAGCTCGTCCACCATGGCGAACAGCTCGGAACGGAACAGCGAGGCTCGCTTCGGGTTCGGATGGATTCGGAGAAGGTGCGCTCCAAGGCCGCGCAGGAAGTGCGTGTCCACGGAGACTCGGTGGCGGAGGATGGAGAGGTCCCAGCGGCTGCGCAAGTTCCGCCCACAAAGGCGCTTTTGAGGCCAAAACGCAGGCAGGCGCCGCCCAGGTTCCGGGGCGAGGAGGAGGGGCGAGGGGCGTGTCCTGGGCAGACGCTCACGCAGCGCGGGGCGGGGCCCCAGGGAGAGGGCGGGGCTTAGGTGACGTAATGGAGAAGGCGGGGCGTGGGCGGGGCGGGGCGGAGCCGAGGTCCAGTACTGTGGTTCTCTAGTCTCACAAATAAAGGCAGGCAGCAGCCTCCCTTCAGGCGGGACTTGCATTTGCCAGGATCTAGCAAGCGTTAAAATCTTTGTCTCAGAGAAGGCCAACCTGCCCAAGTTTAAAGAATTAACTACTCTGCGACGCAACCTACTCACACAATTCAGTACCCTTTGGTGGGCCTGTGGCCATTAAATTCCGTTTGTGCGATGTTTAACACAGTCTCTTGCTTATTTAAATCTCATACACCCAGTAGATATTAGCACTACTGGCCTCAACAGTGGGGGTCACATATTGTTTCAGTTATGAAAGATTATTCACCCCCACCCCCACGCAGGCACCCTGTCTTTAAGATAAAACAAAATATTTAAACAGGGATTTTTTTTTCTTTAGTTGGGAAATAATATTGTGTATCTCTGACCTTTCTTATTTTTATTTTTCTAAGTAGTGAAGTATAAAAAGTTCTGCAAAACTATCCAGTAACCATTTGCAAGCATCTTCGTAATTTTGACTATTTCATGTCCTAAATATTATGTCTCTTGGTTACTGGATGTTATTTTTGTTTCACAATGAAGACTTGTGTTTTTAAATGGTTTTGTTTTTCTATTTAGAATGTGATTATTGAAATATTTTCTGACAATTGAATTGTGCCCAAGCCCTTAGAGCCAACTGTTGGCTCGGCTTTTAAAATATATCCCCAGTTTAATCACTTTTTGTCACTTCTATTACCAACCATCCTGATTGCAACCTTTATTTCTTACCTGATTGATGCAATTAATCTCTTAGCTTTCACTCTCCTCTTCCTACAATGCATATAGTCTCTACAGAGTAGGCATAGGAATCTTTTAGAACAAAAGTTAGATCTCTTTACTCCCCTGCCCAAAACCCTCCAAAGTTTTTTTCCTTCTCACCCAAAGAAGCAAAGTCTTGCTCTTGGCCCAGGAGGCCCTGCCTAACTCTCTATGCCCCTTTTCATTTCCTGCTCTGCTCTAATTACAATGTCCTCCCTGCTGAGTCTCACACATAAGAAGCAGCTCTGATCTCAGGATCTTTGTACTTTATATATTGTTTCTGCCTAGCAAGGACTCTCCCCCGTTAGCTGCCTGACTCCTTCTCCCACTATTTTTAGAAAAGATTTTCCTGATCATTTCATCTATCAGAGCACCTTCTTTTCTGCCAGCAATCTATACTCACTTACAAGGCTGCATTTCTTTGCATAGCATTTGCCATACCAGCAGCCATCATCTCATTAGAACTTTGTCAATCTGCCTCCACTTTAGAATGTAAGTCTATGTGGGTGGAGATTTTAGCACTGGTAGCTGCTCTATTCCTAATGCCTGGAAAAGCGCCTGGCCCAGAGTAAGAAGCTCCATAAATCTTTGGTAGATGAAAGAATCTCAGAGCACAGATGTTGAAATAAAAATTAGAAGTGGTGGCTGCACAAAAAATACTCTTCACACTGTCCAGGATGTTCTCTCTCTGATCATTAATCAGTCTCCATCGTAAAATGATGTCAGACATAATAGAATTGGCTAAATAATTTATTTAAAAACCCCCTTTAGTCCTTTTACAATAGAATTGAATGGGCATCCATGGAAGTGAGAGGGTGAGAGATAGATGAAAAACAGAAAGTCCAAGCAGGCAGAGGAGGAGGGATCCCCTTGCTGAAAGGCTGGGCAGGAAAAAGAGCAGGTAAGAGGGAGTATGGATCCCTTGGACTCTGCGGTGACATGAGTTCCCCCACTAGATGAGAAGCCCCTTGAGGCCAAGGACCCTCTTTCACTTATCCTTTTACCTTCATCATCTGAAAGTGTTTACTAGGTGCTGCATAAATGCTCAGTGGATGGAATGAAGGGACAGGAAAGGTCAGAGATAGGTTTCCAGCCATCCTGCCTATTCACAGGGTAGCGGGTGGCCCTGCCTGGTGCGGCAGTGAGTGTCTAGCTCCACTTCCAATGTCCAGACACTTCTGTTATAGGACAGGGACCCAGAGCAGGTCTGCCTCAGGCCAGCCTCTAGTGTGTGGGTCTTTGACTTCCTGTAGGAAAGATTTTTACAACAGGAGTCAGAGATGGATTTGAGAGTGTGTTTATCAATGCTGGGGACAGTGAAACAAAGGAAGGAATTAGGGGAGAACTTACACAACAGGGGAGAGCCTAGGCAGTGCTCTGCTTTGTTATAGGAAATGTTACAGGAAAGAAGTGAACCCAGGCGGGGCTGCTGCTAGCTCACTGGGAAGTCAGAGAAAAGGGTGCCTTGGAGACAGGATCTGGGGTGAGGCTGGGAGGAGCTGCTGCTGCTGCCCACTGCTTCCCTGGCGGCAAGACTCTTGAGGACCCTTAGAAATAAAAACTTTCATGGCCAGGAAGGAACATGGGCATGCTCTAGAGCAGTGTTTTTCAACCTTTTTTGGGCAAAGGCACACTTGTTTCATGAAAAAAATCACGAGGCACACCACCATTAGAAAATGTTAAAAAATTTAACTCTGTGCCTATATTGACTATATATAAAGTAATTCTCTTGAATAGGAATCAAATAAACACAAAGAAAGTATTTTATAATTACTTTATTATGAAATATTAAGTAAACAAAATAGTGAAAAATTATAAAATTCTTGTCTTGTCTGCACCTACGGCACACCAGGCAACATCTCGCGGCACACTAGTGTGCCGCGGAACAGCGGTTGAAAAACGCTGCTCTATAGAGCCATGGTCAGTAAACTGCAGCTTGCAAGCCACATGCAGCTCTTTGGTCCCTTGAGTGTGGCTCTTCCACAAAATACCATGGCCTGGGCGAGTCTATTTTGTAGAAGTGGTGTTATTAGAAGTTTACCTTTTAAAAAATTTGACTCTCAAAAGAAATTTCAATCTTTGTACTGTTGATATTTGGCTCTGTTGACTAATGAGTTTGCCGACCACTGCTTGAAGAGTGAGCCCGCTTTAAGTCTTTGTCCTGAGGGCTTTTTATCTTTTTTTTTTTTTTTTTCCTGCAAGCTAGAATTTTAGGAGATGATTTCTGTAGAATGTTCATCAGCTTTCCAGGTGCATTTTAAATATGGTGATGAATTAAATGTGCGTGTAGAGGAGTTTTTATTATTCCTTTTTAAAATTCTTTATTGTTTAAAGTATTACATATGTCTCCTTTTTTCCCCCACTGACCTCTCCCCAGCTGTCCCCCTCCTTCCCCCAGGACATACTCTCACCTCCCTAGAGTCTGTATCCTTGGGTTAGATGTGTATGCACACTTATATGCGTGCATACAGGTCCTTTGGTTGATTTCTTACCGCCCCCCCCCCTTTTTCCCTCTGAGGTTTGATGCTCTCTTCAATGCTTCTATGTCTCTAGATCTATTTTTGTTCATCATTTTATATTCATTATATTCCACATGGTGAGTTCATATGATATTTATCTTTCTCCAACTGACTTATTTCACTCAGCATAATGGTCACCAGGTCCATCCATGCTGTTGCGAATGGTAAGAGATCTTTCTTTTTTATAGCAATGTAGTAATCCATTGTGTAGATGTACCACAGTTTACTAATTCACTCATCTGGATTAGATGATAAACCCTTAGGCTGTTTCCAAATCTTAGCTATGGTGAATTGTGCTGCTATGAACATAGGGGTGATTCGTGTTTCTAGTTTCTTGGGATATAGTCCTAGAAGTGGGGTTATTGGGTCAAATGGGAGTTCCATTTTTAGTTTTTTGAGGAAACCCCATACTGTTCTGCACAGTGGCTGCACCAGTCTGCATTCCCACCAGCAGTGCAAGAGGGTTGGTTCATTTTTCTCCATATCCTCACCAGCACTTATTGTTTACTGATTTGTTGATAATAGCCATTCTGAGATGTGTGAGATGGTACCACATTGTTGTTGTGATTTGCATCTTTCAGATGATTAGTGACTTTGAGCATTTTTTCATATGTCTTTTGCCCTTCTGTTTGTCCACTTTCAAAGTGTCTATTTGGGTCCTTTGCCCAATTTGTTTTTATTGGATTGTTCATCTTCCTTTTGTTAAATTGTGTGAATTCTCTATACATTTTGGAGATTAAACCCTTATCAAATATAACATTGATTATTCTTTGGTCTGTTTTACTTTTATCTTAGGTCTCTCTGGCTTTAATGTTTTTGTTTTGTTTTATTTTGTTTTGTTTTGTTTTGTTTTTGTTATTTGTCCCCCAGACTTCATATGGTCCTTGGGTTTAGCTGGTGCAAATGGCATTAATTAGGTCTTTGTTCTTTATTTTCCCAGGGTGATTTAAACTACATATTTTCTGGCTAGGGAGGAGGGCATGAGCCATTTGCTCTCAAGTACTAGTATCCTTGATTAGGGAAGATAAGGTCTTGTAATTCACAATCTGGCTGCAAGCCACCCAAAGTGCTTGGCCTTGTTTAATTTTATTGCCTCAGTTTCCCCATTCCACTTGCCCATGGATTTTCCTATCTTCTACTATACTGCTGCACTTCTACAGGAAAAAATACCCAGGCTTCTATCAGGAACACACATCCTGTGGCAGACACCATGCACAAGAATGGGCATGCTAGGATCCTGAGACCCAGAAGAGAAAGCCATGCCCAATCCCATGAAAGCAGTAAACTGTGAATGTAGTACCACATTAAGAAATCCAACTAAGCCCTAAGTGAATTCCAAATTGACAGATTCATGAATTAATAAAATGGCAGTTGCTTTAAGCCACAAAATTTTGGGATAGTTTACTTCATGACAGCAGAGAACTGAAACATGGAGAAACTCAGGATATGCAACAGATAAAAGCATAGTTCCATATCTAAAGAATTA